TCGGACTAACCCGTACGAATTTCTGTATCCGTAGTAGTATTTATAGAATATAGAAATTCGCGTAGGGTAGTCGGACAGATATAGATCGCTAGATTCGGGGTCTTAGCAGGACATTAAGGCCGCTAGTCTTCCTCTTACAAGACCTTACTTAGTAGATCGTCGAATAACATTACTATTAATACTATAACTACCCGTAGCTCCGTAGTATATACCGCCTAGCAACTACGTTCCTACCGAACTATAGCGATAGACATACCTTACCCGCTAGCGACGGTTATATCGGAGACTCGGAGTCGATAGAAACAACACGAATTACTCGACGCGATTGCTACAGCCCTCGAAGAACTATACAGATACCGGACTAGCTATCGCATACCGCGTATTTAGTATAAATAATATAACCCGAAGGTTTGTCGAGTACGTTAATATAGATAGCAACACAGACGCGCCTATATAGAGCGATACGTCCTATATATAGATAAGAGGTTCTATAACGTTACTACCGATAAAGGCATCTAGCTCGAGCTAGTTTAAGATGCTTATAAAGGGCTTACGCCCCGAGAGGAGCCGTCCGCCGGGTAAGCGGTTAAACTATTATATACATTGTCTACGAAACTAACTAGGGAATTTGAGTATAGGTCGCTATAGCATATATATATCGTATAGCTAGCGGATAGCCGCGCTTCTCGAAATTAGTCGTATAATAAAGAGGCATCGGCTTCCTTCTAAACTCCGCCGGAAGCCTATAGTAGCGGCTGCCGACATAGCAGATAACTTTAACTTACTCTTATTATAGCATCGGTATAAGGATGTTATAAATTATAACTAAATAGAAGCAAAGGGATATAGCCTCGGTACGAGGATGCTATAAATTACAAACAGAAGCAAAAGGATATAGCCTCGGTATAAGGATATTATAAATTACAACTAAGTAGAAGCAAAAGGATATAGCCTCGGTATAGGCAAAAGGATATAGCCTCGGTATAAGGATGTTATAAATTACAACTAAGCAGAAGCAAAAGGATATAGCCTCGGTATAGGCAAAAGGATATAGCCTAGGTACGAGGATGTTATAAATTACAAACAGAAGCAAAAGCAGAAGGACACGGCATCGGTATAGGCAAAAGGATATAGCCTAGGTGCGAGGATGTTATAGATTACAAACAGAAGCAAAAGCAGAAGGACACGGTATCGGTATAGGCAAAAGGATATAGCCTCGATGCGAGGATGTTATAAATTACAAGTAGAAGCAAAAGTAGAAGGATACGGCCTAGGTACGAGGATGTTATAAATTACAAGTAGAAGCAAAAGCAGAAGGACACGGCATCGGTATAAGGATGTTATAAATTACAAGCAGAAGTAAAAGCAGAAGGATACGGTATCGGTATAAGGATGTTATAAATTATAGGCAGAAGCAAAAGCAGAAGGATACGGCATCGGTATAAGGATGTTATAAATTACAAGTAGAAGCAAAAGCAGGAGGATACGGCATCGGCACAAGGTACGGCATCGGTATAAGGATGTTATAAATTACAAGCAGAAGCAAAAGCAGGAGGATACGGCATCGGTATAAGGTACGGCATCGGTATAAGGATATTATAAATTACAAGTAGAAGTAGAAGGACGCGGTATCGGTATAAGACGCGGCATCGATATAAGACACGGTATTAGTATAAGACACGGCATCGGTGTAAGACACGGCATCGGTATAAGATACGGCATAAATTCTAAATAGAAGCAAAAGGATATAGAGGGTTAGGTAGATTTGTAGGTTAATCCGGTAATAGGGCAGAAGTAGGAGACTAACTTACCTTGCCTTACAGTAACAAGACAAAAGCAGAAGACTTACTAACCTTGCTTGCCTTAGAATAAGAGACTTATATAGCCTTTATAGCAAGGGCAAAATACTTACCTTACCTTAGGAGTAAAAGGTAAAAGACTCATCCTCTGCCGCCTAGAAGTCTAAGTTTTATAGGAGGCTATAGAAACTCGATCGCAGCTAGAGGCTAGGCTTATACTATTCTCGATTTTCTAGTAAGGGGTAAATTCACTTTAACGCGGTACTTTAGCCGAAGTAGGGTTACCTTAGTCTAACAATATTAGACCTCCTAATCTAATATAGGTATCTCGGAATAGAGCTCTTACGACGCTGTGCCCGAGGGCTTTAGAACTAATGTTTAAGGAAGCGCGATACCCCCTAGGGTTCTAGGCCGAAGCCCGAGGTTTTACGTAGTATTTGAATCCTCTAGGTAAAGGATATTTACTAATAACTAAGCAGAGGAGGGACTGCACTCCTAACCTTACCTACTAGTATAGTAGCAGGCTCGCGTCGCTATTAGATACTAACTATTAATTCTTATATATATATATGCCTTTACAGTTGTCGCTCGCGTAGTAGCTTAATAGTATAGATTATAGACGAGGTAAACTTTCTACGATATAATAGTCGTAGGTTTAATCTACGATATCGTCCCTAATTATTTACTATTCCCGGTATAGTAGACATAGTAACTCGGCAAGTATCCCGCTAGAGGAGTAAATATAGAACGGTATATACTAACTGCTTAATAAGTCGACGTCTAAGGAGTTTCTAGAGTTCCGGATCTCGCAAACTATCCGAGCCTAAGCCTTAAGAAGATAACTAATTTCCGTATCCGCTAGCCGACCTATTAAATATAGAAACTCGCAACCTCGAGGCTAAACCTAGAGGCTAGTTTCAATTTCCGTATCCGCTAGCCGATATATTAAATATAGAAATTCGCAACCTCGAGGCTAATTCGGAGCCTCGAGGCTAAACCTCGAGGCTAGTTTTAATTTCCGTATCCGCTAGCCGACCTATTAAATACAGAAATTCGCAACCTCGAGGCTAAACCTCGAGGCTAAACCTCGAGGCTAGCTTTAATTTCTATATCGACTAGTTATTCTACCGAATATAGAAATTCGCAACCTCGAGGGTAATTCGGAACCTAAAGACTAATTCTAACTCGAATTTCTGTATCCGCTAGTCCCTATACTAGATACAGAAATGCGGAATCTCGAGGCTAATATAGAACCTCGACCTCGCGACGGGCCCGACCGAATATCTAGCAGGTAGCGGCAATTTCTACCTTCGCTCGTCTATCTATTAAATACGGAAAATAGCGACATCGCTAAATAATATAGGAATAGAATAAACGTACTATACTATAACGACGAGACAAGGGCCGGAGCAGGCAAGGCGTAGAGATCTCTTCTAGATCTACGTAAACTATATTAAATATAGTTTTTAGTTTAAAAATGCGGAAAAGCAGAGCTAGTAGAAATATATAGACTACTAGAGCGAGAAACTAGCTATACCGCTAGCACTAAGACTAAGAACCCTAGCAGAAACGAAACAATAGCCTAGTAGCCCTCGTTCTTCTTCTTCTTCGTATCGAGACGGCTATTTATAATCGGTTAGTCTTGCTCTCGGTATACTTAGTACGGTTAGCGATAGACATATATAACTTCTTACTAGATCGAAGACGACCTAGCAGCGTCGCCGCAGCGGCGACCTCTATAGTGCCCTAGGCGGGCAGGAAGTTAGCGGCGCGCGCGGCGCGTAGTATAGAGGTTGCTATACCGATCTTAATTAGCCGCTACGACTGCTAGCGAGCAACAGACTTCGTACTAGAGCGCATTGTTACTTCCTATACCGTTAACGTAGTTCTTGTATTTAAGGTAGTGTTATAGATAAGGGTAAGAGGGTATATAGTCGAGAGGGCGTAAGAAGATATATACTACTACCCGATATAATATTCGATTCTATCGAAGTTGCTATTATATTGTTAAACCTTACCGTACGTAATGTTTAGTATTATATAATAGTATATGCCTTAGCTAAATAGAAGGACTTTACTTAGCTTTACTTTACTTAGAATTTTACTAGATAGGGGTATAGGACTTTACTTTCCTAGGCGTTTTGCTAAAGTAGCATTTTAGCATTATATACGCTATCTTATATAATACAGAAATCCTACTTTGCTTTTTAGGTATAGTAGTCGCGATATCCTATATAGCGAGGATGCGCGACCTATCTTATTGTTTAAGGCGACAACGATAGGGTACAGAAATAGAGGGTATACCGTACGAACCTTAAGCCTTTACAACTGTACTATAGATACAATAATTTCTGTATTTGCCTACGTACCCTATAGATGCGAAAAATCGTAGATAGAGTAGGAGGTGCTAATATTTCCTATTTTAGTAATTTCTATATTAATGGATTCCTATATATGTAATTAATATACTAATGTATGTACCAATGTTATGAAACTATACCATTTTAGAAATCCCAGGCAATGTTGCCAATGTTGTCCTATCTCAGTAATTACTATGCCAATGAGTCCCATTTGAGCATTTACCCGAATCCTAAACTGCACCAACGTCCTGACATCACCCACAGGACCCTCCCTACAACTACACCCCATCCCAAGCCCAATCTGCATTCCAAGCCCTAGGTCTCTATACAAACGCAGAAAGTTGTCCCATGTGTGCTTCAGCAATCCGGTGGTCGGGCTTCAAAGAATATATCTACGGGACAAGCATCGACAAGCTAATAGAGAAGGGTTGGGGACAGATCCGAATCGGAAGCATGGAGGTGATGCGAGAATCTTTCGATCTTGGCACTTCGACGAGATTGATTGGGGAGGTGTTGACGAATGAGACGGATCTATGGAAAGTTGATTATTTTTGAGATACAGGACTAACTCTAGCTATAGGCTTTAGTGGCTTCATATACCTGCGTATAATAAAGCCCTTTCACATAGCTAAGAATGTGTGCTTGCGGTAAGGTATGTAGAGTCCTTTGTCCAACAGGATCCTTACTTTTTGTGGCAGTATGATCCTAGTTATCTTTGTCCGAGGGGTTGTGAGAGGGTGGAGGGGAGTTGTAAGGCTAGTGGATGAGCTCAGTTTCAACCCAATGCTCTCGAGCTCCACTGCTGTACTTTTCTTACCTCTGACCATGCAACTGCAAAATGTATTCTGTACAGAATTCCTTGCTTTGGAGGATGTGATGTTGTATTCGCCAGCCCACTCTGGCAGAGCATGACATTCGCCGCTGAAAGTTCAAATTAGCACGAAGTCATGACTCAAGCTGGATCCAATGAGGTCAATAGATAACGGTATAGGATTTGGGGACGTCCCCGTTTCGCTTGAAATGCGCGAGCAGCGTTCTGACCAATTCATGCAAAAAAACATCCGAAGCGGGTGTTGTAAGTCTATCAGGGTATATACGCTCATGCAGTCTCCGTATCGCATCTCTTTATGCTGACTTGTTCGGACGATCCGTCCTGGGAGCTTGATGTGAGCCTCTCTTGGGGTCCAAAATCTAGGGGCCGCTTGCCTTACAATAGTGGGTTCGATCGATATTCGGGCGCTTCACCATTGATTGGTCTCTTCGCCACGTTGTCGGCTTCAACACCGTTCGGAACGTCGTCGACATTCTCGGCAAGCCACTTCTCAGCCTCGAGCGCGGCCATGCAGCCGGTGCCTGCTGATGTCACAGCCTGCCGGTAGTGCTTGTCCTGCACATCACCGGCGGCGAAAACACCCTCCACGCTCGTCTTTGTAGTGCCAGGAGTGTTGATAATGTAGTTGTCCTCATCCATCTTGACTTGTCCCTTGAATAGCTGAGTTGCTGGATCGTGGCCGACAGCGTAGAAAAGTCCATTGGCTTGGATCTCCTCGGTCTCGCCAGTCTTGTTATTCTTGACGACCATGCTCTTCATTAGTCCTCGCGGACCTTCGTCTCCTTTGATCTCCACACCTTGCGTATTCCACTTGACCTCAACCTTAGGGTGAGTGGTAAGTCTGCGTGCATTGGTCTTGCTGGCACGGAGCTGGTCTCTTCGCACGAGGACGTAAACCTTGCTAGCCTTCTTGGTCAGGTACAAGGCCTCTTCTACCGCACTATCTCCACCTCCAATGACCACCAAGGGCTTTTCGCGGAAGATTGGCAATGAGCCGTCACAGACTGCGCATGCCGACACGCCATTCCCCCAGTACTTCTCTTCACCGGGCAGATCCAATCTTCGCGCCTTGGCACCCGTCGCAATGATGATACTGTCGGTGGTGTGTGTTTCCTCTTCCAAGTTCTCATCGTCTCCCATGGGGTGCAACCAGTACTTGAAAGGCCTTTGGCTGAGGTCGACCTTGCCAACAGTCTGGCTGATGATTTCTGTTCCGCACTCTTCGCTTTGCGCGCGCATTTGGTCCATGAGCGTAGTGCCCTTGATCATCTTGAAGCCGGGAAAGTTTTCGACCTCATCGGTGGTGGTCAATTGTCCGCCAGCAGCAATTCCAAGGGCAAGAAAGCCCTCGTACATGACGGGCTTCAGATCTGCTCGGGCAGCATAGATGGCGGCAGTGTGGCCTGCGGGGCCGGAGCCTATTATGACCAGCTTGGAGTGCATGTTGCGCGTGTGTTGGAGGAGCGGGGAGTTGAGTGCAGAAGCAGACGACGGTATGCTGGTGCTATTGGGCTTGTAGAGGGCGGCGAGTGCGGCGACAGGGAGAGTGATGCTGCTTCGGAGAGGGCGCAAGGCTGCGCGGCGAAAGGCAGAGGAGAACAGCTTGGCGACTCGAAGGGAAATGTGTCAGATAAGTGCAATTTTATTCTTCGGACGGAAGTGGGTGCATGTGTCGATAGCGATAGGGATGGCGATGGCGATGGCGATGGCGATGGCGATGGGAGTAATGTCAATGTCACTTGCACATGGGAGTCTTCCAGAACACGAGATCGATCACGTAAGCTGGCGCGGCGGCTGGGGGCAGAATCGAGAATGGCGAGCCGAAAGGCGTGCTTCTCGGTGCAACTCTTGAAAAGTAATAATGCCCCTCTGAAAAATATTCTAATGCCCCTCGGCCGCTCCTTCCTCAAGCATCCATGTCATCTCCGACCCGCACAAGTCCCGACTCCCGAGGCCCTTTGACATCACTCCCTGAGCACCTCGACATCGAGCAGCGCATAGGCACTCCATTCTGAGACGGACATCACTCCGTAGCAGAGCTCAGATGTGCATCCAGAGTTATACAAACCCATTAGGAGACCACTCGTCCGTCCACTGCACAGGACTTGCGCTCCTGAATACTCCATCACTGTCGAACATTCCTTTCATTCAGACATGTGCCTAATTCAAATGGAAATGGCACTTCAAGCCCATCGCCAACGTCTGAGCCAACATATACGATCTCCCCGAGTCGACGTCTGCATCCTCTAGAGCCCAGCCCCTACACGCTCCCTTGAACCCAAAATGAATGCAATTGGCAGACACGCCCCCCTTCACTCCATCTCAACATCCTCATTGGACCTCCCTTCTTCATCCTCCTCGCCAGCAACGCCCTTCTCCACCACTTCTGCGAATGACGAGTTCGCTTTCTCCACATCCTCGCGACTCTTCTCCTTCATCGCCGCATTCATGTTGAGGAACCGATCCATCAACGTCTCCTCGCGATGCTCATGGACCTCTTGCGCCTCCTTCTCGCCCTGCTCGCCGCCATTGCGATCTTCGTTGTTAACGGTCCACGTCTCATAGCTTTCCGCCTGGAAGAAGGCGCGGTAGTTGTTGACCGCAATGCGCATCTTGAGCTTTTCCTCATTCCTCGACTCGAAGAAGCGGCGTCGCGCGTCAATATTGGCTCGGCGTGCCTCAGCAGCCGCGCCCGCCGCCGCCGAAGAATCGGAGCCGAAGAACGATTTGTAGCTAGAGTCGTTGACGTAGGGCAAGAGCACAGTGCTCTGATCCACCCCGTCGGTGTCGTCCAGCGAAGAGTAAGAGGCGATATAGTATCGCCAGCGAGTCTCGCGGTCAAGCGCTGTAAGTCCATCGTCTGCAATGGCCTCGTCCCGCTTCGTCACGAAGATTCGCACTCTGCTCTCCAATTGATCCTGCGCGCATGGTTAGCATTGCTTCCGAAATCTTGGTTGAGACATCACTCACAAAGTCAACACGGTAGAGCTCTCCATCCTTGACCATCTTCTCGACCGACTTGCGATAGTCAGTCTGCTGCTGGGCAGTGCTGGTGTCTTTGACGCGATCCTTCTTAAAGAGATTGAAGATCTCCGCAGACCTTTCCTTGCTGTCGCTGTTGATGACCTGGATGGCATCCTTGGCCAGCGTGCTGATTAGCTTCTCGAATGGGTAGAGTGGGTACCCAGATTGCAGATAAAATCGCCGAAGCACTTCTTCCACTTCAGACATTTCGATGGCGCCTTCCAAGAAATCTTGAAGCTTAAGCAGCATCTGATTGTAGTATGATGTATTACCACTGACGTCTTGGAAGTAGTCACTCGGAATCTTGTCGATAATGCCGAGCTCGACCGCGGGCTTGACTTGTTTCGCGTCATCGATAGCTTTTCGTACCGACGCCTCAGAGAGCTTGATCTTGTGTAGACGCTCGTACAGCATGATGAACAAGCGCAGGAAACAGTAAATGGTGCTGTTCGCCCAGAGCCGGTAGGTATTTCGTGCTTGTGGCTCCAATGGATTAACATTCTCGCCACTTAGAATATTGTTCTCGACAGGGTGTTCGAACCATCTGTTAGTGGACACGTCCGCCTTGTTCTCAACGTCTTCAGTGGTTTCCACGGCCATCTCATCTGGATCGATATTCGAGGCGACATCCGGTGTAGAAGCACGACTCGCTGAGGCGTTGCTGTCGCCATCTCTCTTCGGCTTGCGACCACGGCTGGGATCGAGAGCAGCACGGCGCAGGTCTCCAATCTTACCGTTACCCTTACGCGAGCCGATGGATGCAGTCTCCTCACCACCCGACAACAGCTCGTCTCCGAGAGCACTGTTCTCTGACCGAAGCTCGATCTCCTTACGAAAAGCTGCGTTGTCCAGACCGAAGAAGAGAGGCACGAAGTCCTTAATGAAGTCCACAAGTTTCGGATGATCGGTCTGAAGCTGAACCTGTTCGATGTGGACCAGGATGAGATGCGTCGCATCGACGAGCACCTCATTGTCGACGATGCTGAATTCCAGCTGTGGCTCGCGCATGACGCCAGGCAAGTTGTTGCTCTGACGCTTCATTTCCTCGTAGCGAACCTGGATCTCGCCTTGGAGTGTCTTTGCCTGAAAGGCGCGGCGGTCCATTTGCTTGGCCTGCGCAGCTTGATGATCAAGCGACTTCCAGAACATCTTTTGAGTCTGTTCGCGCCAAACTTTCTCCCACTCGCGCTGTGCCATCTTCCAGGACTCAAGGCGCTCCTTAATTCTGTTCAGCAGGACTGGGATGACTTGGAAAGGTTGGTGGTGTAGCGAGTTGATGACCTCTTGACCCTTCTCGCGACCGTAGATTTTCATGATTATCCGCTTGTAGATGGTCTCACTCTGGCCACCCAAGCCTGGCGGAAGCTGATAGTTGCGCTGTGCCAGGTCGTCCATTCGGCGAAGCTGTGTCGCAATAGGCTCGAGCAGCTGCACAGTCCTAGCAGCCGCTTCGATGTTGAAGTCGTAGTCGTGTCGCTCCTCTTCGATCCTGTGCAGACCTTCTTCATGCACATTTTTTCTATGCGCGATGAATCCAGAATCCTCCGAAGCCCAAGTTGGATGCGAGGCCCAGTCGTCATTTAGCACTGAATTGCACAGCTCGTCACGTCCACTGCATGGCTTCTGCCGCTCTCGCTTGGGTAAGAGGCGATAGCTTGGGCCGAGACCTCGACAGTTGCTGAGCATAACTCTGCCCGATGGCACTCGAGGCTTATTCTCAATCAGAATGTCGCGCTCATCGTATCCCAGCCAGTCGCGGAACCACTTGAGTAGGTCCGGGTTGCTACCGATGAAGGCCTGCGCTCTGTACATCAAGGTACCGCGATCAATGAGATCCTGACTGAACAAGTTGCAAAGCTTGAGGAATTCATTGAAGACATTCTTGTTGCTGATCGCCTTCTTGGCCTTGTCGAAAAATGCCAGCTCCGAGTCGGTCGCGGCGGAAGTCGTTGTCGGCTCGAGAGGCATTGGAAGAGATGGAACCAGTGTTGGTGATACTGGTGGCTGCTCGTTCTGGCGAACAGTCTGCATGTTGTTGTGCTTCGCGCGCTTAGTGGGTGGACCCGGGAAGATATGGCCTCGACTGGGCCCAGGAGCACCGTCAACTGCACCCGCAGTACCCTGTCTTCCTACTTCACGCTGTCGCTTCTTGTCTTTGGTCGAGGCGGGCGTAGGCGCAAAGTTTCCAACAGGTGGCAGTCCGCGGGATTGACCTGGTGTACCCATGTGTGGCTCACGCGAGATTATCGGGCTTCCACCATAGATGCCAGCACCATCATTGCGCATGTTTGAAGTCATCACCTCCGCTTCGGCTCGAGCGCGCTCTGCGGCCTTAGCTTGCGCTGCTGACTCCGGCAAGAATTGTTTGAAATCCTCGAGCAAATCTGGTGCAGTCTTGAACAAGTGCGTGACTTGGCCGTACACGTCCTGAATAGGCTTCGATTCGCGCTGGTAGGTCTGTAAGATCTCCAGAAACTGCTTATAGATGTCCGGTTGGGATGCGAATCGGTTCTGGAAGAAGTGGTTGTTAGTGCGAAAAGCCTTATCGTGCATCACTTTGCCAGCTTCGGCGGAATTGTTCACAGCCGACAATGGAGACGAGCAAACGCCAGGGTCCATCGGAGGACGAAGTTCACTTACCTTAATTTTGTTAACATAACTGATTGCATGGTTGAACTCCACAGGTCCACGCTGCTTGTCAAGTCCCGCGCCATCGATGGCTCCTGCTGCGTCTCCTTGTCCAGGGAGGGGAGTCGCACGAGGCGAGATACCGGCCCGAATGCCAGCCATTCCAGTGGCAGCGGAAACCGCGTTCTGAAGTGAGTTGACACCGCGCTCTTGGATCGCGTGCATCGCTTCTTGCTCTCGCTGACGCGCCGCAGCGTCAAGCGGCGACAGGTGGTGTTGTTGTGCGGATGCTACTGGACCAACAGGTCTGCCACTTGGGCTATAGGCCATTTGTGCGCTGTGCGAGCCAGGTTGCGGTGTAAATGTGCCATTGGTCGGCCTAGTGCCATCATGTGGCCCGTCCTGCCTGCTCAGTGGTCTCGCGGTCGGCATGTTGCTGACTGTCGTGCCCATTGGAGTGGTCACGCGGATGACATTTGGATCATCACCCTGGCCGCATTCAATTCTATACCCAGGAGGCAAGAATGTGTTGAAACCTTGGATCAGCTCCGGGTTACCAGCGAAAAGTTGACTGACTCTGCCGATTACACCTGGAGTATCGATGGCGCCAGATTTGAAGTCCTTCATGATGTCCAGGAATCTGTTATACACATCCGGGTGCTCAGCGAACTGGACTTTCACCTGGTCGAGGTAACTGAGGGCGTCGTTCAGTATGGGCTGCTGACCCTGGCCCTGCTGACCTTGTGCCATCTGCTGTTGTTGCTGGCCAGGCGCACCTGGTCCGTATGGCGGCGCAAGTAGACCTGCGTGCTGCTGGGACGCGCTCGGCGGTTGCGAGGGCTGTACGGGACCGCCAGCGAAGACGTTTCCAGGTCCGCTGGGTGCGCCGAGTGTGTGAAGAGGTTGTGGCTGAGGGACTGCCAGTGCTGGGTTTCCTAGCAGTCCGTTAGGGCCGTGAATGGGGTTTCGCGGACCGACTGCAACTGGCTGATGCAAGTGCGCAGGCGGACCTGGCGGTGCTTGGTGTTGCGGCGCTTGTTCCATGCGTCGCCGTTCCTCCTCGCGATGCCGGCGATCTTCTTCCTCCTTGATGTGAATCTGCTGGTCAAGTTCGCGAGCTCTTTCACGCTCCCGCTCCCGCTCTCGCTCGGCAGCCGAGGGCTGGCCGGTAGCTTGGCTGAGAGCAGGCAGTGGGAAAGCTGAGCCCTGCGGCGGCGGCGGCGGCGGCGGCGGCTGTGATCGCGGGTCTTCGGGTCGATTCAATGTGGGTTGTCGCGGCGAGTTCTGGCTGAGTCCCGCGAGACTGGCCAAGCTGTGCGGCTGGTAGGAGGAGTAGGGACCTGCGGGGTGCGGCAGGCCTGATGGCGGAGATTGATGGGCGGGTCTGCGGCTTGCAATGTCAGTGATGGACGGAGAAGGAGGTGCGGAAAGCTGTGGATGAGAGCGAAGCAAGGCGGAAGCAGAAACTGAGGACGAAGCTTGAAAAAGAAGCTCAGCTCGCTCGTTCGTTCGCCTGTCTTCCCCTCTGCACTACTCCGCGCCGAATGCATTCACACACTGATGATACGCTGACACGCTTTGCGATGGATATAGCAGATACATACCCATATTGGCCCTCGTTTGCATGCTGCGAGCTCCCGCCGGGCGGATGAGGCCAGCGCGCATGATCCATCGTGCTCGGTGCTGCAGGCCAGAGCCTGTACTTTGTTCCGTCTGAGCACGACGCACAGTCTCCGCAGCGAGGTCTTGTTTGCAATGAAGGAGTGTGTCTCTCGGGCAGTATCAGCTTGCGGCGGTCGTGTTGCTACTGCTCTCGTGGTGGTGGTGGTGGTGGTGGTGGTGGTGGTGGTTGGTCGGTTACTGGTCACTGACAACGCGTGCTGGCTAGCAATGTGCGCTCCGTGAACACTAAAGGACAACTAGGCGAACGCGAACGTCGACAAAAGATTTGCGAGCGCACCAAGTCGCGTCGAGCAATCGAGGGCTGCGACGCTCGGCTCGATGCGCCAACTGCGTGTTGTCTGCAACGCTGCAGAACCAGACGCACCGTTCCTTTCCCCGAGTGCGAGTGCAAAGTGCGGCCGAGGGCGCTTTCCGTCTTGACGTATCCGGGGTTTCGTCAGTTACTTCACGCCCGCTGATCGCGGGGAAATGGGCTATACGTAAAATCGCGATTTGTTAGTAGGCCACACGTAAATCTCGATATAATCGTACTTTCCAGTCCCATTCGGATATCTAGGTAGATGCTATTATAAACCGCGAGTCCAAATATTATATAGATAGCCTTGTCCGAGTATATAGTAGCTATAGACCTTACTACCGCTATTTTCTTATATAATTCTTAGCAGGCGCGTCTACCTTATTCCTTAATGCTTGTTATAGCGCGTATCCTCGTATTCCTTCTCTTTCTCTTATTTTCTAGCGCTATATAGATTATATACGACTGTCGCTATAGTATATATAAAGGATAGAAGAAAGGGAAAGAAGCGGATATATACTAAGCGGTTAACTAAGACGGAGAGGATAGAAAGGGTAGTAGAACGCGTCGTTTCGAGGTACCGTAAACTATAGGCTAAATTAGTTAAGCTTAGTATAAAGTAGGTATATAAGATTAAGAGAGTAACTAACCTATATTCGCAGGTCTATTAGCGACTAAGAGGCCGTAGATCGCTATTATCGCGCGCTCTAACTAATACTAAACTCGACGAGTTTTAGGAATTAGTACTAGCGGACTATTATCGAGAGAGGGACGCAATAGGGATATTCGTACTAGTAGCGCTTATCGGCGTTATTATAATAGATATACTAAAGAGGGTAGCGCTAGAAGAGGTTGTTATTCCGCTATTTAGTGCAGATTAGGCGGACCGGTTCCTAGCTCGATATAGCCTTAGTAAGGTAAAGTCTAAACCTATCGAGAAATAGTATAAAGAGGCCTATAACCCTTTAACGATAAGAGCGTAGTTTAATCGGTTCGAAGCGATAGTCGCGCGGCTAGGGGTAAAGCCTTAGAATATATAGAACTTCGATAAGACTAGATTTCGAATCGGGGTTAGTAGTAACGAGTATATCGTTATAATAGACACAAAGCGGCGCGCCTAGACTGCGTATAATACTAATCGTACGTACGTAACTGTTATCGAGACCGTTAACGCGTACGGTAACGTAATCGACTATTAGTTAATTATTAAAAGTATAATAGTCTAAGAACGATAGGTGCCGAAGGAAGGTAAGTCGCTATTGCTACTTCCGAGTCTACTACCTAAGGCAAGAACGATATTAGTTGCTTACTATACCCTTATTCTTAGGTAAGGACAACTTCTTAATTACTATTAACGAGTCCGGTTATATAACAGACGATACTACTATATACTATATTTACTAGTTTAAGCGGAAGACGAGACCTAACGACCTAAACTAGTAGAGAGTACTATTATACGACAACTACGGCTCTTACTGCTTTAAGGAATTCGCTACCTTCGCAAAGCGATACAAAATTTAGTTATAGGGCCTATAACTATATACCTCGCACTTTATGTAGCTACTCGACGTTATACTATTCTAGGTATATAAATTAAGGCATAGACAGGCGGTCTTAGAGGCTATATACCGTAGTGTTAGCGAATTTAGTATACCCGAGTTTATAGAGGCCCTTTTAGCTATTCGGACGAGGATATTTACTAACTATAATATAAGGGCCGCATTCCGTAAGACAGGCCTATTCCCGATTAATAGGGAGGTTCCTTATAAGTATATTCGAGATTAGTATAGCGCTACTAACTATAATTAGAACTAGCAAGTAGTTAAGAGCGAGTTATTATAGGAAGAAGCCCGCAACGAAGAATCTCTAGTAATAGCGGATGCCGCTTAGTAGGAGCACTTAGTATTAGTTAAGCGAGAACGTTTAGTTAATCCTACTATTGTCGATCTAGACGGGTAGTAGTACGCTAATAGTCGCTACTATTTATAGGACCTCGAGAATATAATTGCTTAAGGCATACCTTTATTGCTATCTCGGCTAATCCGTATACTAACCCCTAAATTGCCGGAATAGCTACTTTATACTACGACTAGCCCTCGTACGATTAAGGCGTCTCGTAGTACTATATAAGCTCGTAAGGACTTCCGACGTTCTTATCTAAAGGCAGCTCCGCCGGGTATATTACTATTTAATCTATTTTCCTCGTCGCCTATAAAGTACGTAGAAGAGGTATATAATACGTTAGTTAACGCGGCTATCTATAAGGGTAAAGAATACAAGCGCAAATACTAGTCTACGAGCCTTGTTAAGCGAGTAAAGAAGCGGCAGAAGGAGTAGCCTAATCGGCTTATTCGAGCAGGTGCTATCGAGGCTAACGAATTACGCTTATAACTTACTTAGTAAGATAAGGACGCAGCTAATAATAGATACTAGAAGATACTCTATAAGGCGTAGAGCGCTTATAATAAGGCGCGTATCTATCGATTAAAGTATAGTAAGGCCTTCTATATTGTATTTAATAATAATAGCAAGACTAAGTAGTCGGACGTTAAGTTGTAATTAATCGATAAGCTACTATAACGTATCTTCGATAAGCGCCTTCTTACCTCCGATAATACCTCTACTTTAAAGAAGACTAGTAACCCGTACGCCGATATTATTAACAATTATAAGCGCTATACTTATACGAGTAATAACGGCGACGTTACTTATACCTAGAGTCTAATAATAATACTGTCTCTACCGAGCCGCACTTATAACTACGAAGGCGACCTTCTAACGTAGACTAACGTTAAGCCTAAGCGGCGATTAAACGGCCTATTCGCGTAAGAGCCTAATACGCGACTCGACTAGCTAGAACGAGATAAGGCGCTACTTAACGAAGATACCGTATATACTATAATTTAGCCTTATTTAGTATATCCTCGCTATCGTTAGAAGTCGCTATAGTAGAAGCGCTATTTCTACGAGCCTTCGAAGAAAACGAGCCGTTATTAAGGCGAGGTCGCTAGCAACAATAAGGCTAGTAATAGTAATAGTAAGGACAACCCTATTAAGCTAGAAGACTCTTAAGATAGTAGCTATAGCAGCAGTTAACGATAATAATAAGAGGTAGATATAATATAATAGATATATAGACCGACCTATAAAGCGGTCGATAATATAGTTAGCGCGGCGTATACGCGAAGGCCGTTAATAGCAGGTCTATATAGTCTAATTTAATATATACGGTCGTAATATGCCTTCTTCTTAACTATAATCGCACTTACTATCAATTTCCCGGCTTATATGCTCTATAATATACCGTAGTATCGAGATTTACGTGTGGCCCACTAATAAATCGCGATTTTACGTATAGCCTAAATCCCCGAGCTAGGGCGAGGGGTGGAGTGACTGACGCAACCCCGGATAGATTCCGAACGATCCCTGCACATATTCTATCGGTCTTTCCCAAGCCGATGCTGTCTATTCTAGGTACACAGTGTAGCGTCCAATACCAAGTTTTTCAAGGTCGTCTATATCGGGTTTGAGGTGAATATACCATGTCCACAGACGACGCAGGCTTTACAGCTGCCCTTGAAGAGGCACAGCAAGGCTTTGAAGAGGGCGGCGTGCCCATTGGAGCATGTCTCGTGGCGGCCGATGGAACAATCTTGGGAAGAGGGCACAACATGAGAGTGCAAGAGAACAGTGCTATTCTACATGTATGTCTTACAACCTGCTTAGTCTCATCCTCAAAGTCAAAGAACTCTTGGCCTTCTACACACTTGAATACTCTTCACTCAGCCACATTATTCTTCGAGTCCGTCTCTGACGCATCCTAGGGCGAAACGTCAGCATTGGAGAACGCAGGTCGTCTCCCAGCCTCAGCATACAAAGGGTCGACAATGTACACGACTCTGTCCCCGTGCAATATGTGTACGGGAGCATGTATTCTTTACAAGGTGTCGCGCGTCGTCATGGGGGAGAATAACACTTTTGTCGGAGGCGAAGAACTTCTTCGACAGCATGGCATTGAGGTTGTGAATCTTCAGAATGCGGAATGCGAGCAATTGATGAAAGACTTCATCGCAAAGCATCCCGAAGACTGGTGCGTGATTATGCGAGGATGATCGATTCACGTTGGCTAATGCTTGACTTTGTGGTAGGTACGAAGACATTGGTGAGGATGTCTAAGTCATCACACACCACGTATGCATCGATAGCTTGAGTGAAACTTTGGGCTGTACACATTCAGCTGTACAAATTTGACTGGCGTCCGTCATGAATTTTCATTGCTCCATCTACCAATCGCCGTGCAACATGTTACGATCGTGCATCCTTTGCTCTGCCGCTTGAATATCCGCGAGTCGGGGCATTTTGTCCTCTTGCTGTTCATCTAATGTGTAGTCGGCATACGTGAGCTTATGTAACTCTTCAATTACGCTCTCGCACGGAGTCAGCTACCTGATATTCTGTGTATCTCCTCGAAGTAGAATCTGAGATCATCTGGATTTACCCAAGGTGTGATGCCTGAGATTTGTTAGTCTTGTTCGCATGTATGCGCATATCAGCTCCACTTACCATGACCGAGGTTTGCGATCCAGCCCTGCTTGCCACCGCCAAATCCTTTCACCATCTCTTCCACCACCTTAGTGATCGCAGCGTGGCCGCCGTACAACACGCCCGGATCAGCATTTCCTTGCAGTACCTTTCCATGCTTCTGAGCAATCGCATACGCCTCCGCCGGGTCATGCAGCCAATCGAGTCCAATTACGTCGTAGTTCGTCTTGCACAGCGTTTCCACAGCATGCCATGCGCCCTTGGCAAATACGACCATCGGCACTCTCTCCTCTCCCAACTCTTGTATTCTCTTCGGTAGATGATCACAGATGTATGTCAGATATGGCAGCGCAAACTCCCTAAATGTAGCCGGACTCAGCTCTCCAGCCCAGCTGTCAAAGATCTGCACGATTTGCGCTCCAGCCTTGACTTGCAAAGCAAGGTATTCCACACAAAGCTCCGCAATCTTCTGCAATAGTTTCTTGCTGGCATCGGCATACTTGTAAATCCACGTCTTCGTCTGTCTGAAAACCTTGGTACCACCACCTTCGACCATATAACAAAGTAAGGTGAACGGTGCTCCACAAAATCCGTAGAGTGGCACCCTACCATCCAACTTTTTCCTTGTCATTGTGATGGCTTCATAAACATAGCCCAAGCTCTTCTCCACATCTACATCTCTCTCCATGATCTCCTGGTACTGCCTATCCTCTGGTGACTCCAATGGTTCTGGGAAATGTGGTCCCTTCCCATCAAGCATGACAACTTCCATTCCCATAGCCTGTGGGATGACGAGGATGTCTGAGAATATGATTGCGCCATCGATGAGTCCTTCATAGCGGTCGATTGGTTGTAGTGTCAGATTTGAGGCGATCTCGGGTGAGCGACAGCATTCGAAGAAGTCGTGACTGCCTTTCTCCTTGTGATACTCGGGCAAGTACCGACCTGCCTGACGCATAACCCATATTGGAGGGCGGGAGACTTTTTCGCCGCGAGCTGTTCGAAGCAACAGATCGTTCTTGAGGGGTGCGAAGTCGTGTGTCGCCATAGTGGGCAATTTCTGTCAATGTACAATCGTGGAATGTGCTGTACTGTATAGTATCAAAGGAAGAGAGCCGTGAAAATGAGTTCTGAACACAGTTTCCTGATCGAAAACGCGGACGTTGATGGTGCAGCGGGGCAAGCATGTGAGAGCAGATAAAGTGTGCAAGGGTGTGTGATGCAGGTGCCAGAAGGCTCTCAGGCAGATCCCGAGGTTTCTCCGCTCCGTAGTCACATTTCCAAACACCATCTCTTCCTTCACGTCTGCATCATCTTTGTAACAACGAAATCTCTGAACGGGACGACACGTATGGCGCAGAGAATATGGCTTGGGGTTCGCCGACGTTCTGAGCAAGGAGTGGAACAACCCGCCGAACCATGAACATGAGAAACTAACTTATGAATCATGGAAAGACTTGTTCATACGCGTCACAGGAAATCCATCAGAATTCTTCGTCTGTAACCTGAGTCTCAAAAGAAAGACGATGTGGCTGCTCACCGAAGTTGAAGAACAATGTTCCAACAAGAACACAATGGTTCTTGCACTTCTCACCGCCGCAACCATTCATTCCCTCGTCCGCGAACATCTTGGATAGCTGAATCGAAATTTGTTCAACTCCCGATGACTTGCGGCACAAACACGAACGAGATTAGACAGAACATAACTGCAAAATGGCATACCAACTCTCCAAAAATGCCATTGCCATTCCGATGCGGGGACTTTGCCCGGAGTCGTTGCAACGACCAATATGCTCACACGGCCATCTATCCTGGAGGAGATCTGGCCATAGGATCTAGATCGCCTTTCGAAACCATTCTGGGTCAATGAGACCGGTCAATGCCAAAGACGAGCCGGTCCTGGACAAGGCCTCGTTGTTGTTCACGCTGGATTGTAGCAGCCACCTGTCTCAAATACTCAGCCAACTTAGTCTCATCAGTCCTCCTTGAGGCGATATCGTCTGCAACACAACTACAGCATCAATCACAGTTCTTCTTCCAGCGTTCCTCGTCCACGCGCGTAACACGCCTCGGCAACCCGGTAAAAAGATCTTCCGCGCACCACTTCTAGTCCGACCTCGGTTGCTCTTGTGACATCTCCGGCCACACTGTTGACCAGCATTGATAGGCAAGTATAGCGATATCTCTTTCATTATCGTCAATTTGGTACTCTCCTGCGCAGCAATCACCGCCGGCTGTATCTAGAGGCCAGGGGAACTCTTTAAAATGGTGCTATGGAAGTCGGACCACCCAGATCTTCATAGTAACGAGCGAATCTCTATATGAGTCTTAGCCATGGACTGATACTTTAGCAGTACCCACCTCGCTAACAACATGGCAATGGGTCTTCGAAAGCAAGGAGTTCTCGCCAGTCTTGTGCTCATCAAAAGCTGAGCTTGGATACTATGAGAACGCGGTCTCAAAAGAACGCCTCGATTATGCTCAGGTGAAGGATCTAGCAACGAAACTCAGCACGGCTCTGATTCATGACTATGGCTTCAAGGTCGGAGATACCGTGTCGATTCTGGCCTCGAACACTGTCTGGTATCCGATCGCCTTATGGGCGACCATCCGCGGAGGTGGTTGCATCAATGGTGCCTCACCTGCGTACAATGTCGAGGAAATGACCCATGCGCTGAAGACCGCCAGAACAAAGTTTCTATTCACACTCCCAGGATCGTTGGAAACAGCTCTAGCAGCGGCGAGGAATGTTGGAATGCCTGCATCTTACATCTTTCTCCTGGAAGGCAACAACGCTGGCCATAAGACAATCAAACAGCTCATCGATCTTGGTTCAAAGTCGAAGCCTCATGCTCCCTATAGCATTCCATCCGGCAAGACCAACATAGAGGTATGCGGCTACCTCAACTTCTCTAGCGGCACAACAGGTCTTCCCAAAGCAGTCATGCTCTCCCATCACAACATTATAGCTCAATGCCATCAACTTCGTCAACTCCAGGTCGTCGAACCAGGAGATCAATATCGGATCCTAGCCGTCACACCATTATTCCACATTACCGGCTTGGTGAGTAGACCAAAGGGCAGAGGCCCTCATCCTGCACATTCCCTCCTTGTAGCCCTCTTGTCTCACTCTCAATCGCCAATCGAGTCCCCTGGTGGCAAGCGGCTTCCTCTCGCTCAGGACATCTGCTAATGCTTCTACCCTTCACTTTTAGGTCCGCTACATACACTACCCGATCTTCATGAATGGCAATTCTATAATGCTGCCCTCCTTTCAGATGGAAACGATGCTGAAGACCATCATCACTTACCGGATACCGGAGCTGATATTAGTCCCTCCTATCATAATCCGCATAGTTCGAGACCCTATCGTATCAAAGTACCTCCCCGATCTGCAACGAGTCGTTCACCGGTGGTCGTCAGGCTCGGCGCCGACTCCACCAGAAGTCATCTCACTGCTGCATCAAAAGTTTCCTGACACTGGCTTTCGTCAAGGCTACGGAGCAACAGAGTCCACGGCCTGCATATCATGCCACCCACCGTCTCACTACGACTATAAGTATGCCACCACAGCCGGGAAGCTATGTGCGAACACAGTCGCAAAAGTTATATCGTTGGACGACAACCGGAAAGAACTGGGAATAGGACAGGCTGGTGAGATATGTGCTCGAGGGCCGCAGATCGCAATGGGATATCTCGACAATCCAGCCGCCACCAGGGAGACCTTCGATGCAGACGGCTTCTTTCACACGGGCGATGTCGGATACATAGATTCCGAAGGGTTGATTCATATATCAGACCGGATCAAGGAGATGATAAAAGTCAGAGGTCAACAGGTCGCTCCAGCAGAACTCGAGGACTGTTTACTTTCTCATCCGAAGGTGGAAGACTGTGCCGTTCTGGGGATACCAGACGATTATTCTGGAGAGAAGCCGAAAGCATACGTTGTTCTGGGGAGTGGGGCAGTGGCCGGCATCGCTTTGGGCATGGAGTTGTTGAGGTTCGTGGGTGAGAGAAAGAGCAGGTATAAATGGATCAAAGAGATTGAGTTCTGCGAGAGTGTGCCAAAGAGTCCGACCGGAAAGTTGCTTAGACGGGTACTGAAGGCGGCTGATCGTGATGTCAAAAGAAAGAGAGGGTTGGTGATCAGAGATGATAGGACGAAGGCCAAGTTGTAGATAAATATGAATAGACTAGATGATGGCGCGAAGCAAGAGTTATACAGAAGTCATTTGAGCCACGTCCAACATTACGTGCTAGCAGTTCATACAGTGCATCTTCCCGACGCGAAACATGAGACGACGAAAGTTGACGAGCGTGTTTGCAGTCAAGCGGGCTTCGATTTCGAATGAACATACCTCTACCAGAATCATGGGTCACCTCCTCGATTCAGGCACCAGAAAAACAAAGCAGTCGTGATCCAAGAGGCCAAAAAGGTCCACAATAGCATCTCCAGACGGATCAAATCAAATCCGTAACATCGTCGTCCGCCAAGAATTACCCTAACAGCTCATCAGAGAGAGGGCGGAAGTCAACCCTAAGCACACAAAGACTCATCACGAGTACCTTAAGCTTACATCTGCATCTCGTCCCCCTTCTCCCTCCCCCTCGTCTCGCAAGCGACATGAATACTACTGCAAGGACAAGAATACTGGTCGCCGACAACCAGGTGGATTTATCTGCTCTCGTCAATGGTATGCCTGCACACATCACAAGCGAACCGTCATAATAAGCGGTGTCCTCCCGGCTTACGTGGGATGCATTATTGTTCTGTTCCCCTGCTGCAGCAAAACGGCGGCACATACTCTTTTGGGAGAGTCATCGTCTGACATGGACATGCACTCTTCGTGGACAACTATCCAGCGATTCATCGATTCTGCCGTGTCCTACGCCAAGAAGATAGATAAGAGAGCCCTTGTCAAACAACGACAATAGTGAAAGGACGGTCTTGCAGTCATCACCTCAAAAAGACACGATCTCGTTCTCATTCATCATCGTCCAACTAGTGGGCTTCCCACTCCAACAGCATCTTCTTCCCCTTCCTCTGTCTCCATGCTTCCGTGTCCTGAGTCGATCTGTGGCGTGAGATCTGGGCTGCGGGCGACTTTCGGTCGTGCTTTGAAGATTGATGCGTACTCGGCATCCTGATCGAACAGCTTCTCACGCGGCGTGATGTTGCGCTTGACCATGGAGTCGTTCTCTACAGCACCAGCTTCTACATTGACTGCGAGAGACATTGTCGAGCGGCGTGGAAGTGATTTCTCTGGTGTCTCAAACTGGTTGACGGGATACTGCGAAGTTCGAGAGCGAGCATGGGAAGGCGCTTTCCTCGGTGCTGGCGATGGTCCTGGGGCCAGAGAGATGGACTGACGCGTCCGTTCCTGAAGTGTTGGTCGTCGCTGCGGCAAATCTGCAGATTCAACAGGCTCGAAATTATCGCGAACTGTATCCTTGTCGATTGTCTCTGCTTCTGTTCTCAAGCTCAGCGTGTCCTCAGTACTCTTGAACGCCATCGACATGCGCGTGCGATCCGCGAGCGATGGCCGCACTGTTCGACCGACGCTGTCCAGATTCCTCGTGGCTGCTGACAACCTAGAAGGAATCTCGACGGCACTGTCAGCATTCTCGCTGATCTGAGACTTCCATGACACCCGTGGACTGTTCGTGCTGGATGTGCTTCGACTCGGCGAAATCGTGCCCAAACCTGTATCTGTGCTGTCGCTGTTCTGTCGCATTCGTTGCACAGCACCACCGATGACGTGATCAATACCGCTCTCGAGAAGTGGATCCTCAATCGGCGAGGCTAGGATGGAGCCACGCGGACTAGGAGTGGCCGAACTTCTCCTTTCCGTCTTCAGTGGAGAAAAGATTTCCGACTTCAACGGTATGGGCTCACGCTGATTGATCACCTTCGGCTGGTGGTAGGATCGCGACCTAGACGAAACTCTCTTGCCAAACATAGGCCTCAGCGGAACGGCTGTTTGTGACATGGACTTTTGGTGAGGCTCGGGCGAAGCAGACCGGATCATGGCATCCACTGAGTTATTCGGGCGTCGGTTTGGCGGCCTTCGCACGCGCTCGGCTGGCTTCGTGGGCGAAACCGGATCCGTGACAGACCTCTTTCGCAGTTCTTCTCGCATGGCAGTCAGAATCTCATCATACTTCGCAACACTCTCAGATCGTGCATGCCTTGATGGTGATGAGGGCGAACGAGGATTGTCAGAGATGTCGCGAAGGGTCAAGTTCTGATGCCGGTCAAAGCGAAGTTGATGCTGTTTTGTAGCGACTTCCTCTTTCGTGGGCTTGGGCTTGGACGACAGCAGCTTCTCATGAAAGGTCTGCCATTTGACGAGCCTTCGCTTCTGATGTCGTGTGCGGGCCTCGACGTCCTCTAAGATTCCGGTGTCGGATGCCTCGCGTTTGAAGAGGCGATCTGCATCATTAGCCTCCCAGACCTGGTCGAAAGATATGATGAGGAGGTTGTCTGCGCCAGGCGCACCACGACCGTCCAACAATGCATCACGCACTGCATTGCTCCCCACCCACCTCTTATCCAGCACGTCTTGCGCCATGGTCGAAGGCCGCGGTCTCTTCTTGTCTGCCTGATGCTGCGCATGTATACCTCTCACATGCAAATCAGCCTCCTTGTCAATAAGCACATCGTAAAGCCTCGCATAAGTCTGCCTCTTCTTGTCCTTTTGCGCGAGCACCTTCGTCAGTGCTGCCCTGTGCGCTATGGCAAGAGGAAGCATGCTATCTCTCTGGCTCTTGTTCAGCGCTTCCGCAGTCGCGGTGCGCTCTGCGATTGGCTTGGCATGTTTGTTCTTGCGCTCGACTCTGATCTTGCGCAGCACGATAGCCGAGAAGGCAAGGCATAGTTCCCAGAACTTGTCGGCCTGACAATCGTCCAGCATTGACTTGCGCAGAAGCACGTGCCTGCCCAGAAGGCCATTCTTCTTCAATTCATTGAGACATCGGTACAGTGCAGCCCTCAGATTGATGCTCTGCAGTGGCTCCAGAGGCGGAAAGAAAGGCTGCAGCTTGTCCACAGTGGTGGCAGAGTCGTATGTACGGAAAAGCTGGTAGAGACACCACTCGGCACATCGTATTCTGGTGCTCGCATCGTCATTGCCCAAGCTCGCTGGTGTCACCGAAGGCCAATCTGGAAGCAGATCGAGGTCGAGCAGACGGCAGTTCTTGAGGAACAGCGATGTAATGGTCGTGCTACACGAGCTCCTCGATTCGGGGACATTGTGCGTGGAGGAGGAGGTGGAGGTGGAGGTGGCGCTGGTATGGAAAGTCGCGGTATGTGAAGTATGCGCTATCGCTGTCGCTGTCGCTGTCGCTGTCGCTGCTGAAGATGCGGCACTCGCAGGTCGCTCCATGGTCGCATTATTGCACACAGCAGAGGGGAGAGGATCAAGCGCGTGTCGCAGTGGACATCAATCCCTTGCCCTTTCCCGCGCTGCGCACTGGCTGCACTTCATTTCAAGACGAGACAGCCGTTTCTGGCCGCTTGGATCTCCTGCGTGCCTGATGCTAACGTGTGCAAGGAGGACTTCGTGATGCTACCCTCTTCGTTAGCGTAGTAGGAAGGGCCGCTGCTAGCTGTTTCCGGTAGACGCTAAACGATTAGTAGTTAGTTTAGCATTGATTAGAAAGCGGCAACCTCCGCGAACCTCGATAAGCAATACCTCCTACGGTCGCAAATGCGACTATACTATTCAATTTCATTAACCGGCTATATACTACTATAATAGCGATAAAATAAAGTCTAAATATCTATTCTAGAATGCCCTTTCCTTATCTAATAAAGAAGCGAAGCTCCGAAGGGCAATCGAGCGCTTCCGAGCCGGCGAATACGAGTCTAAAGTCGCCTACTATTAGGACTTCGAAATCCCCTATATAACCTTTAACGACCGAGTCCGTAGCCTCTATAATAGCTCTATATAATATAGAGAGGGCTAGAAGCGACTAAATAGTATATAAAGAGCTACTCTAAAAGAGCTAATACTAAGAATAATCGGAATAGGGTTTCTACTAAGGTATAAGACTATTCGAGAGTAGGTAGAGTAGATACTTACTATAGATCCGGATTACAACCCTCTAATAATACCTTCTATAGGCGTCTACTAGCCGGCTCGCTTTGTTAAACAAGACGACGACCTACGCCTTCGGTAGACTACTATAATAGACTACTACCGCCGCAGCGTTACTAATAATCCGAAGGTACTAATTAAATACTTTAAGAAGCTAGCGGATACGATAAAAGAGTATAATATTGCAGTAGAAGATATAGCTAATTTTAACGAAGCCGGATACCTTACTAGTTATTACGAGCGCAACTTCTAGGTCGTTATTTATACGCGTAAAGCTAGGTCTACCTTTATACGACAACCTAGCGGTCGTAAGTAGATAACCACTATTAAAGCTATTCGAGCCGATAGTTATTATATACCTCTATTCTTCGTATTTAAGGCGAGATAGGTTACTAAAGCGTTGTTATAGCAATTCTAGCGCTAATTCTAGTATATAGGTGCTAGCTTCGCTATAACTAATAATAGCTAGTCTAATACTAAGATTGCCGCTTAATAGATATAGCATTATAATATCCGTTGCCCTCTAAGTAAAGAAGGCAAATAGCGATTACTAATAATAGACGGTTACGATAGTTACAAGTTATTTAGTTTCCTATAGTATGCCTTAGCTAATTATATACTATGCTTATGCCTTCTAAGCTATTTAACCGCTTACTACTAACCTTTAGATTATAGCGTATTTAGACCTTGTAAACTAGCCTATTCGAGCTAGTTAATGCAGCGCTATACCGATTATAGTCTAGCAACCGTTACTAAGACTAACTTCTTAGAAATTTACTCTAACCTATACGAAGAAGTCTTTATACCTAAGATTATAACGAAGGCCTTTAAAGGGATAGGTATAGTACTAGTCGACGTAGAGCGAGTAATTAGTAAGCTTCTACGGTCCTTTCGGCCTATAATACCTCTACTACTACGGCGGCAAGAAGAGGTAGAATCGTTACTAATTAATATACTACCGGTAGTAAGAATACTAGTTACAGGTCTACTACTAACGCTACGAAGGCTACTACTATAAGAACTCCGCTAGCAACCGGTTATACTAGCAAAGCGCCTCCTATTTAGTAGCAATCCTTCTATACTAATAAGCTATAAACGACTAAAGACAACGGCTAAGAAGGTAGACTTCTAGAGCTTACAATCTACCTTTAACAACCTCGGGAATACTTACCTGCCTTATACCTACGGCCTGTAACTAGCTATCTATAACAAACGAGTAGTTAACAAGTTTAAGAAGATAGTTAAGGCGGCTTAGGTGCTCCTTAACTAATATTATATAATTGTCCGAGAGAATAAAGGGCTCCGGTATACCGTTAGACAGAAGATACGCAACAAAGAGCTTAAACACGTTATTAGTAAAGCTAAGGTCTATATAATAGACGTTATAGACTCTATATTAGCAGAGGCTACTTAGAAGTCCGAATACGAGAAGCTCCGACAATTAGTAAAGGAAGACCTTAGAGCCCTTTAGCTTATACGCAAGCGAAGGTCAACCCTTGCCGCTTAATAGAATAGGATAGCTCGTAAGGAGCGTATTTACCTTATTGCTAAGCTTACTTAGTTGCAGAAGGAGTATAAAGTAGCTTACAAGACCGAGAGCTAGTATATACGAGATATCCGGTATCTTATAATAGGTAAGCGCTTACCTGCAAACGCGGCTTTAATATACGTTAGTAAAGCCCTTTAATATATATAGCAACTCGAGGCTCGAGTTAAGGCCTTTAAACAAGCTAAGAAGGTTACTAAGTACGCTAAAGACCTATAGCAGACTAAGTAGACTAAGCTTAAGACAGCCGAAGAGAAGATTGCTATACTTAAGTAGATAGTAAGTAAGGCGGACGTTGCTAATAAGGCCGCTATCGACGCCCTCTTTACGCTTAACTATATAGTAGACCTAACGGACGAGGTTAAATAGAAGGCGAATAATGCTAATAATAAACTAGACAGTAAGGTTCTATTCTTAGTAGAAGATAATAGCGACGTCGAACTCCTCGATCCGCGGCAAGCTAATCTACGCCTAAATAGGGAGTAGTTATCTATATAGGATATATACGATAGGGGCTTCTTTAGGGATAATAAAGCCGCCTAAAGCCCTCTAAATCTAATAGAAAAGCCGTCGACTAATTAGAAGCCGAGAAACACCTATTAATTATTAAAAGTGTGCTTAATTAACGTATCTCGGTCGATTAAGTATACTTAGAATAGCGGCTTCGGCTAAAGTCCGAATTTAGGGAAGCTAGCTTTGTAGTATATATATCTACTATCGTACTATTACCGTTCTATAATACTTTATCTTTATATTATATATACTTGTTATATGCATTAAGACCCTTTATTTGCGCTATTTAGTATATCTATATATAGTATAGATAGTATATTCCTAGTATTAAGGGCTAGTAGCTAGCCTAATTCTACCCTTTTATAGAAGCTCGGAGGTTGCCGAGCTTAGCTTAGCGGCACTTAGCTATTCGACTAGGCTTTATACTACCTATTTCTATATTACTACATTCTATTATAATATATTAGCAACGATTGTAGAATTATAGAACCGGATACTGCGATTATTTTAGTATAAAAATTAGTATAATCGCATCGCTATAGGGCGCACATTAATTCGATGAAGTATCGATACAAAACGACGAGGTGCTTACAAATCCGCGCTAACGAAGGGGTGGCATCACGAAGTCCTCCTTGCACACGTTAGGCCAGTAGCGTTCAACGTTAGCGTTGTTGACACCAGGATTAGCCTTGGCACTGAAGAGTCAAGACGTCCTCAGCTGCAGGGGTCGATGTTTGCCAGGTTCTTTGTTGTTTGTTCCAACTGGAATTGATTGCAAACGCTCAAAGCTGCCAGCAATTGGACGTCCATTGTCATTGCTATAAGGTAATTGCCTTTGCCAGCATATATCCAGCTGGACTGTATCGACATAGCAACCGTTGATCCTCGTCAGTGCTGCTGCCGCTGCCGCTGCCGCATTCTTGTGTTGTCATCGAATTCCAGCCCCGGGCACAAGCTGCTCACCCCAAACGACCCCGCCGTCCATCTGCTGTACCACAATAATGATGCCTCCAGATGCTGTCGTCACCAATGAGCCGCCTCGTAAGGCATCATCTACACTTGTGTTTGTCATGAATGCTCACGATATGCCTTGTCAGGACCAGAGTCTGGCATCTTGAGCCGATCGAATACGAACGATCAATGGACACCCAACACTGGTAAGCACTTATAGGGAGAGCTCAGTGAGCCAACCTTGTACGAGGACATGCGTCAATTGATCTGCATGCTAACATCCATCGCGCAGTCCTCTCAACCCTTCCCGAACAACCACCAGTCAACCCATCCTCGCCTCTTCCATTCTTCCACATCCTCGAGCGCCTGAAAACGACGAAGCGCGAAGGCTGGCGGCGATTCGACATCAATCATGGAGAATCCATTTCAGATCATATGTACCGAATGTCCATCATCACGATGCTGTGCCCGCCAAGTCTGTCGTCTCGAATAAACATTGCCCGATGCACTCAAATGGCGCTGATCCACGACATGGCTGAACTACTCGTTGGAGACATCACACCCGTAGACGGAGTGAGCAAGAGCGAGAAGTCGCGGAGAGAAGCCGATACCATGGACTATCTGACTAACAACCTGCTCGGCCACGTGTATGGGGGCAAGAACGGTCAGCAGATCAGGGAAATCTGGCAAGAGTATGAAGACTCGCAAACAGAGGAAAGTCAATTCGTACACGATGTTGACAAGATGGAGCTACTGCTGCAAATGCTGGAATACGAGAAGTCTTCTGAAGGCAAGATGGATTTGGGCGAGTTCAGCAGAGTTGCGAAGCGCATTGTACTACCCGAAGTGCAGCAGTGGGCGGCAGAACTGCTCGAAGATCGGAACGCGTACTTCAAAAAGCTGGGCAAGACACCCTCAGGCGTGAGCGATATCAGCGAAGAGAGAAAGAAGCAACAGGACGAATACTATGGCAATGGCGTCGTCAACGGAGCCGCGGCTCACTGAGACCCGCGCCGGCCATTATTATTGAACGCAACATTCTGCCAAGTTTCCAGACGAGACCGAGCTGTTGTCTGACGCCTGCAACATAAGCGTGCGCTCGCACCGAGACTTGGCGACTGCGCCATTATTGCATTTCGGTTGTAGTTGCACTGCAGAGAGGCAATAATGGCGAGCAGGCCTTTGAAAGATCTTTGCAGCCAGAAGAAGGTTGGGATGAAGTCGGATTAGGATGATAGGGTCATAGATCCACACGAAGAACGACACCGCCAAGAGTCTCAAGAGGCGTGTGCGTGCAATTCACATCACCTGCAGGAACATGATGAAATGGCACCTTGATGATCATGCTTCAACCAGGAAACACGCTGCTGAGAGGCAAATCGGCCGACAGTGCACCAGGGTACTATGTGTAGAACACCAACCACAGCAGATCGATGGCGTGAACGGCAGAGTAATCGCGAATCGCCCACGATCCTAATCACATCATCATTATTCCTGCCCGAGTTGACACCCACGACCGCCTTGTTTGTCGAATGAGATGGCGACAGGATTTTATTTCCGCCATCTTCAATTCGTTCCTGAGGCTCTGCGTTAGTGTGAACGAGGTCATCAGCGCGTCTCGATGTTATTAGGGCATCACTGCGAGAGGCCAGAGTGGTTTCAATTCCTTGTCGGTAGTCAAGCCACAATTGTGTCTCCCCACGCGTTAGGTAACTGGGACAAGGTTGGAGTACCTATATTGGTATACAGTAGGTAGTGGTAGCACTATTAGCTCCGCTCAGCCCTGTGCAGGTCCATGAGGAGAGAGGTAAGAAGCAAGCGCCACAGCTAGGCTGTACAGGACTGTGCGTTGTATGTGTCCCGTCATCACAACGAGGATAGCGTCGTTCGATGGTGAGCATCAAACATTTAGTCTGAGGTAATCATCTCTGTGGTACGAAACAGTCATTATTACAAACAGGTCAATTGACGGTTCGTGAGCGAAGCCGGGAGGCTGAGGAGGCAAGAGGTATTCAGAGGACATCCCGCGTTATGCGCTCCTTCGTGATGAGAGAGAAGAACAAGCGAATTTCCGATCCAACCTCGCCAAGGCTATTAGTGCTGGCAACTTGTGCAAGGTCGGAGATGGCCAGTGGCCACGTTGCCAAATAGAGGAGACTCTGGTCTAGAAATACCAGGGAACTTCGAAGGCGTGAGGGTGTATGTATGGATAGAGGAGTTTTGGCGTCAGTATGCGAGTGGGTCCTGCGAGGGTGGGTGAATGAATGCGATTATGCGACCACATTTAACTGTGCTGCTGCAGTAGTCCTGCCAGGTCAGCAGGCGTTCCCGATGATCTCCTGGACAAAGTGTTGGCGTTCGCTTCCATACGCATTGGTCGATGTCGGATTTCATGTTGTTGCCGTACCTGCTTCCTGCGATTTCTCTTAGTTGGAGGAATAATCAGTTGAGCATTGCTGCAAGTGATGCTTTACGAGCACTTCTCCGGAAGAGACTTCCGCGCGGGCACGGAGGAGCTGCATGGAGTCGTGAGGACTGAGGAGCTGTGCAGTGTGCATGCGATCAGGCCTGCACGGCCTGTATGTGGCCCTGGACGACGGAGCACAGACTTTAGTTAGCCAGGTGTGGCGATTTGCGTCAAAACCACGAGGCAGATGCAGCCTTGTGCTCCGTAGGACTAAGTGACTACCCAGTTCGCCAGATCGCCCGGATGAATTCGCGCCTCACGCGCAAGACGGCGGCAAAGCGTGGTTTCGAATGCAGGACTGCAGTGTGGCAGCTGTCTGTGTTCAGAATTCGCGATGGCATCAGCCTCACTTACAGTAGTACTCAGCGTGTTCAGCAGAGGCGCGCAGGATGATGATTTCGTTCCGTTCCCCGCTGCCCTGCCCTGCCCTGCCCTGCATGGAGGCCACAGCCTATGTACATGTAGCCTGGAGCTCGAATCTTGCAGCCGGGGGGGGGGGGGGGCGGCGTAGACGGGATGACGCTTAAACTCTGCGACGGCAGGTAAGCTGCATTTCGAGTTGGCGGGCAGTCGCGCAGTCAGACGCTCGGGTGTCTTGTAAGGAGCTCCGTCCGGCTCCGGGAGTCCCATTGTGTGCAGTATCCATGTACCGATGTGCTCTCCGCACGCACTTGCAAGATCTCGGAAGCAAGCAGTGACTGCTTTCGGGCAAGGCAGGCAAGGAACGAAGAGCGTGGGGGTTTCCATTGCAGCCCTGAGCCCCACCAAAGCCTTCAGCGCGAGAAGCTGCGTCCAGACTCCACCAGGCTGCCTCCGCCCTGCCTCCGCCGCTGCCTCTGCCTCTGCCTCTGCCTCTCCAACCCACTGCTGTCGTGCATCAATTGGCTCCTGAGCCTGCCTCAGCTGGCATCGCGCACGCGCACGCGCACACCCGTACACACTCCTGGTGGAGTCCCCGCCTCCGATCCTGCCTCCTGCCTCTTCCCGGTCTGTGGCATCTCTGCGTGTCATCTCGGCCATCTGTGTCCGCGTGAGTCGCTGCTCTGCTCTGCTCTGCTCTGCCCTCTACCATCGTCCACTGCTACTGCCCGACGAGTGTGCACGTGTGCTACGCCCGCACAGAACCTGGAACGTCGACCGCGTGCGCCACCGCGACATCGACTCCGACAGCCCACGCCACCTGCCTCGTCGCCGGGAGATGACGAGCGTGGTAGCGGAGAGTGCATCTAGCAACGAGAGCATGCCGCTGCCGAGCGACCAGCGCGCCACCAGCACCCTACGACACAGCCATCACCGCGAGCCCAGCGCAGCAGTCGCCACCAGCGGCACTCTGCGCTCAGCGAACCCTCGTGCATGCCCGGCGTAATCTCAGCCCGAGATATCAGAACGATGCGTGCGGCGAAGCCGGAGACAGTGGGAGCCGCGCCGTTGACCCACCGGGCCGCCAACACCAGCAGCAGTAGCAGCAAGAACGATGAGGTGGTCCAGATGGAAGACGCCGACCACGAGCTCGTCCATGTGCCCGAGACCAAGCCCAAGAAGAAGCGCAGAATAATCAAGACAAGCGACAAGAAGTACGAGTGTCCGCAGCCAGACTGCGGCAAGTCGTACTCTCGCGCGGAGCATCTGTATAGACATCAACTGAATCGTTCGTGCCACCTGCGCTCGCATGTCGTCACACCGGGAATGCAGCCCAGCTAACCACCGCACAGACACGCCCAAGCAGATATACCATTGCGACTTCCCCGGCTGTGACCGGCGCTTCGTGCGCGCCGATCTGTGCGCAAGACACAAGGAGCGCCATACGGCCAAGGGATCTCATCTCCAGCGCAAGGATGCCTTCTTGCAGAGTCAACGGCAGCAAGCCGGCCAACACGCAACTCGACGCTCCGAGTCTGCAACGTCGGGAGCAACGACCAACATTTCTTCATCGCCCAACGATTCGTCGCATGTATCCCAGCCAACGCAGCCCGACTCATATATGCCACCACCGGGCCATGCCGTACAACCATATGCGACTGCCGGAGACCAGCAGTACCCAAATCATGCCCAGCAGCAGAGTCAGCATATATCTGAGCTGCCCTCGCTTCAACCGAATGATGCTTCCGTAGACCCCTCGTTATCTCTTGGTAACGCGTATAACGCTTACCAGAATTCGTACGGCACTGCGCACGGCAGCATGGCTCCTCCAACCCCGACACCAATCGCGAATCGACGGTATAGTATCGAAGGACAGCTCAATAATCGACCGACGTCAATGGGAAGCAGTTACAACCCACAATCCATGACTCAGATTGCGATACATCCGTCACAAGCATCGCAGCAACCGGCCAATAACATGTACGGCCAGCAAAGCTATCCACCTCCAGGCCAGGACTATCGACAACCGAACCAAAATAACTACGGATCGATTCCAGCACTGCCACCGTTCGGAATGCCGCCACCCTACACGAATAGATCCAGTGCCATGTCGCCGCCGTCACTGAACTCGCAAGATCAATTTGGAATGACGACCTCGCGCGCTGCTGGCAGTGTCATGGGTGAATTCAACATCCTGGACCAGTACGCGGCTGGATATGCCATGCCTGTGTTCGGTAACGAGGGTTTCAATCGATCGCCACAGTCCGCTCTAACCCTGGACGATGCGCTATTCAATCAATTACTGGAGAGCAATGGAATGGTCTTGGATGTCCCGTCACCGCCCCGGGAAACTACGTTTGGCCTGCAAATGCCCAACATACCGGTTGCTCAGCTTGAGGCTGAAGGCAAGCCGGAAGAACCACAAACAGATACTCCACAAGCCTGGGACACCCATTCGCCCACCGTACCCAGCATGGACTTAAGCTTGAGGGAAAGCATCATCACCGAGCACAAGCAGAATCGCATGATCAATATGGTTCGCTCTTTTGAGGACATTGAGAAGATGCCAGGCCGGAAAGTCAAGGAAGACATCATGTCTGGTGATACAAACGAACCAAATCATCCTCTAAGCGTTAATATGTTGCGAACATACATCACCAGCTACTGGATACACATCCACCAACAGATGCCCATCCTTCACCGTCCGACCTTCAATCCAGAAACCTGTCCCGACGCTCTTCTCCTTTCAATGATGTGTCTGGGCGCATGCTGTCTGGAGAGAACGCACTCTCCTGACCAGATTAAGAATTGTGCTGAGCTGGCATTCTTTGCCGCTTACCACATCCGATGGGAAGTCTTTAGAGATCCAGAGTTTCGACCTACCGCGAAATTGTGGACTTTCCAGACCATGCTTCTGCTAGAATTGTTCGAAAAGATGTACAGCACTCGCGCACTGCACGAAAGAGCACATATCCATCACGCCACGACCCTGACGGTGATGCGACGAGGATCATCACTGATCGGTCGCAGCGCCAACGACACTCCAGCGGGCACCTCCGACCCAACTCGAACGCCACCTGGACCAGAGGGCAGCATCAACACAAGCGGTCAAAACACACCCGACGCGTTTTGGAACCGTTGGATCACGGCTGAAGCTACAAGGCGCGTTGCGTTTGCCGCATTCATCATTGACTCGACGCATGCGACGCTCTTCGGACACTCGGCTGTCATGTCGCCGCACGATCTTCGCCTGCCTCTCCCGTGCGACGAGGCCTTGTGGGCGGCTACGAGCAGTGCCGAAGTGCAGCGGGTGGAGGCGAGCCTTGCTGCGAACGGGTTCAAGCCAACGAGCTTCCTCGAAGGGCTCAAGAAAACACTCAACGGCCAGAAGGTTCGAACCAATGTCTTTGGGCGTGTCATCCTTATGGCAGGGCTGTTGAACGTCAGCTGGCACATGAACCAACGAGACCTGCAGGTATCATCGCTGGGTGCGTCGAGCACGCTCGGCAGTGCCACACGCTGGCGCTCTCCTCTCACTCGTGCATTTGACTTCTGGCGGCGGGATTTCGACGATAGCTTGTCTAGAAATGATGTCTGGCTGCAAGTGTACAACGCACAGACCAACAAGTCCACGTGCCATGCGGATCACCGCGATAATGTGTTCGAGTCGCGGACCTGCTTGCACAGCCTAGCGCACATGGCCATGCATGTCGACATCGTGGACTGCGAAGTGTTCGCAGGCTCCGACCGTGCGCTTGGACGAGTGGTGACCGAGTCGGATCGGGCAGCAGTGCAGCGTCGCATGCGTGAGCAATGGGCGCCAAGTGCAAGGGCACGAGATGCGACATTCTACGCGCTGCGATTCTTGTGCGAAGTTCTGGTACCCCAGGAGGCTCTGGAGAAGAATGACAACGCACCATCTTCGCCACCGCCGACGTTCAAGTACAGTGCCAGAGACGACTACTTGCTGAATCGACCATACGTTCTCTATTTCGCGTGCATGATTGTCTGGTCATATGGCTATGCACTCGACGGGCCAGTCGGTACTGCCAATTTCACGCTGACAGCACGCGATGAACAGATCCGCGATCTGCAACGTTATTTGATCCGTGTTGGTGGCATCGCGAGTCCGGATGATCTTGAAGGTCTGCCAGACCGCAGTTCCTGTTTGGGTCTGCTTATTTTGATGCGCGAGTGTTTTCGACAACCTCGATGGGAGCTTTTGCATGAGGCGAGTGACATGATGAACCGTTGTGTGCAGCTGCTCTTACCTGGGAGTCCAGAGATGAGCACGCGCGCAGCATGAAAGGCACAATCTTGTTGCGTAAGATGTTGATGGGCATTTTCTGTGGGTAAGCGGATGTGGGAACGGTGGGAAGCGGGAATCTGATGATACAACGAACGAACGGTACTTGCAAAAACAGGGAACAGCAAAAAATGGGATGACGGGGGCGGGGAAGGTTGGGCATGGCGTTGACTGGTTGTGATTCTGGGGTGGGAGGCATGAGTGATACCCTGGTGCTATTTTGATTGCGATTGTCGATGCTGCACTGCGCTGCGCTGCGCTGCATTGCTGTTGATGTTCGATGAAGTGAGAAAGTGTGAATGTAGTAGAGGTGATTGAGAATCTTCGATGTATACACTCTGATGTGCGTGGTGTGATGAGAGACAAGGCTCGGATGGTAGTATTATGACTTCTTTCTCTTGGACAGCGAAATTGAGCGGAGTGTACGATCGTTGTTGCCAAGGTGTTCGGATTCTGCATCGTTATCAGCTGACAAGAGTGAGCGGAAGGAATTTGGAAGTGCAGCTGTGGAGGAGGCTGTTATTAGGAGAGCGGAGCGTGGTGGCAGTGGGCGGCGCTGACCTCTTGTATGATCGGTCCAACCTGGTTGTCGTCAGTGATCGATGCATCATCATACGGGATGTCGAGTCATTGCCAATCCAACCACACGAAAACGTCCAAACTCTCAAGCGTGTCAGCAACTGCAGGTGCAAAGGTAGTTGGCACCGGTTGGTGGTCTTGATGATCAGTGAGATGCTATATAAGCAAGTCGTGAGGGGCCCATCAAGGTGTTATTGTACAATAATCATTAGCCAGGAAGAGCCAGCGCGAAGGTCGAAGTGGTATGCAATGCGAAACTCTGCGGGCTGCGCTGGGGCTTTTGGGCAGCAATGCTTTTGGCTGTTCATGCTGTGTCGTGCATCTATCTTGCCCTCCAACGCCGGGGTTGTTTCCCGGTGGATGGAAGGATCATGGGCAGAGGTGGCTCGCTAAGAATAGTGTGGCGGAGGAGAAGGAGCGACTCGGTGGATGCAAGTGATGAAGCTGCAGTGCGAGCTGGCGGCGGTGCCGGCACTCAGCTGTCATGCCGGCCTGCGCATTCGGCTCTGCCCATGATCGGCCCGCGACAGGCACCCCGAGTCTCTTGACGCGTGATCCGCCGCTCCCAAGGCCGATGACAGATGTGACTCCCGAGGGAATCATTACTAATGTAGTAGCGGTGCTTGACCAGGGCGCGAAAGCCAGAGTGACAGAGTCTCTCCTCGACGGCTGTCCACGGTTTCAACCTCCAGAGTCCAACCTTGAATCTGCGCCTGCCTACGCCCACGCCCACACCCACGCCCATTATTATTGTCATCACACTCTTCGACAGCCAAGCTCCTTTCACCAAAGCCGAAGTCATCGGCGGCCTTGCGGTATGGAATCGGAGAATAAAAGATCCCCAACTGCTGCGCTGCGCTGCGGTGCCGCTCAGCGTGTTGTGCCTCGTAGGTTATACCAGCGTGAACTATTTTCTGACGCGGAACTGCCCCTGCAGGACGCGGGTAGAAGCCGTGTGCTAGTTCGAGAGTACAGTACACGGTATACCCATGCTCGGAGCCCGTGGGACATGCTGATCTGCCAGCCAGCACCACCCAAACTACTGCCAATTGCCAACTGCCAACTGCCAACAACACGGGCACCAGATTCACCAGAGTGACACAGGCCATCGCTGCCCACTTGCTTCAGCACCCCCGAATATGCTGGCAGGAGCTTCGGTGACCATCATGGCCGCCGTGCCGACGGCCCAAGTAGAATAGCGCCATCTGCTGCAAAATCCTCGGCATGCTTTATGAGTCAAAGCGACTGGCGATCCCAGCCAGTCTCAGCGAGCCTACATCGAGCGTTGTGACAACCCGTAAGACCTTTTGAGTTGCGGCGCGGAGAGCTAAGACACGTCCATGGAGCTTAGCACGAGCAACGAACAGGAAAGGAGCAGTCCTTTCCCTGCCTCTGCCTCTTGTAGGATCCTGTACCTCCAGCACGTCCTCTTGTGGCCCGCCCGTCTCTCTCTTCGTCAACACTGCTGCTGCCTTTCGCTCGCAACTTGCCAGGAAAGGTCCACCCACCGCTTGAACAATATCCGCTCTCTTCTTGCAACACTCTGCATCACACCACGACTTGACTGTCTCCTCCACACCTGAAACGCCCGCTCGTTCATCCGTCTGCCTTGGCCAGCCCGTGGCAGAGCCTTGAGGATTGTGGAAGTATCGCTCGACATCTGGCCTTGTCAGACTCCGAACATGACCATGACCTTGCCACGATCATCGGCGCTGGGCCAAAGGCCTGCCTATCTGGACAACCTGTTCAGAGATATACCGCCTCTCACCCCAAGTACACACTCGTCGACTAGCAGCATCTCGACCAACAGCACTGCATCAACCTACGACCTGCGAACCGCATTCCACGGCGCGAGACCACTATCACCAGCATTAGAGGAGTGTGCCAGCGACACACAAAGCATTCGCAGCAAGAAATCCTTCCTTTTGAGTCCGAAAAGATTTAGACTAGGCACCATCTTGCACAGGCGGACATATCCTCAAGTGGACCAACGCGGCGACGAGCTAGAGCGACCCTCGACAGCTGTATCACTCCAGAGACTACCCCCTTCTCGTTCACATCCATCACCTCCCACCCAGTCGCCTCAACCGCTGGCGTCGCCAGAACAACAAGTCCAAACACAAGAAGTGCGACGTCCCTCACTACCTAAGATCCAAACGAGCTTCCCTCCTCCACGAGCAGTGAGCACATATGCGAAGCGACCTTTGCCGGCAATTCCTGGACAAGCACCACCCGTGACCACCGCAGCATCGCCACCAAAACCACAGCCAACACGCAAAATTGAACGTCAACCGTCGATCGGTGAGCTGAGCTGCCAACGATGCTACTACTTCGCCGCACGAAATTGCAATGGCTATGTGCTTGGTGGTGAAGCTGGTGATGCATGCGAGATGTGTTTGGTGAGTGAAGTAACCATTCGGCTACCAATACAAATACTAAAGAGTGATGTAGCAAGCTGGGTTCTTTGGTGCGAAATAAATTAACGAAATTTATGATTTGATTTTCTGGCAGGGCGTTGGGAGAGCGATCTTTTTGGAAGATATGAAAGTATATGTCACGTCGCCGTGACTTGGATGATTCAAGCCATTGGACTGGCTCGATTGAGCATCCTGGCTCGAAATGTACGATTGATGACGAGGCTCGAGATGAGGAGACCACTCGCCATAGAAGGACGATATTGATCAAGCAACGATGCTTCCTGAAACACTGCAGCAATTTAATTATCTGTCACAGGACAGACAACATTCGAATATTCATCGCGTTCCTCCAACATAAAACTGGAGAGCTGAGTTTGCGTGGATGCTTTCGAATGCTGATTGTACGTGAGCTGCCCACCATCCTCAATGACACACTATTCGAGTTCAGCTCTCGCATGCAGGTTTCAGTTTCATCCCTCGAAAGCCGGAAAAGCCTCACGCGTCTCGCGTCTCGCGTGTCAAAACCCTAAAAGTCAAAGCTGTACTGTACTGTACTTTCCCACAGCAGATCTTGACTCAATAAGACATGACAGCTACTGTACTCTACATATTCTGTGACATTCACGGATTCAATACTTCAACTCCTCCATGCATGTGCCAAGATCCTTCATGTCGACTGCAGAGCACAGAAGAGCTCGTGGGATCGTCATGCATCACTGATCTTGGTTCATGGAACGTGGCGGATCAGGACACAGACCCAGACAAGCGGGAAACAGGCGCCGGAATAGGAACGCCGCGAATCCTACAATCACGATAGGGTATTTGGGTCTGGCAAGCTGTGAGCAACCAGGACTTTGGACCCTTGGGACTTGGGTCTTGGGACAAGTCCTCTACAACAAGATTTCCTAATCTGTATGCAGGGTCCAAGCTCTCTTATACTGTATGCAGGGCAGGTCTGATGTCTTGTACAGCTCCGCGAGGTCGGAGGACAACTCCGGTCATGCTTAGTTCTTACACGGGACCCAACGTGACACATTCTGGAGCGGAGGAATGGTCTGGATCCGAAGACTGTGGGGACGTTTCATCTCTTACGCGAAGATGCAGCTGACACAAGAGGCTTTCCTGGCACTTATACCGAGCCCCAGCTGCCCGCCCGAGCCCTAGCAATATAGTGGATTATGGAATCCGCTGTTCCTAACAAAATCGCGTGTAGAAGCGATAATCTAATCCCCGCAACCATCTCCGACCGGGCAACTATACTGCCGCTAGCTATAAAGCCAAAGATTGTTAGCAAATTAGTAGTATAGCAAAATTCAAGGTGTTATTAGTTGCTATCTACTTAGATCTAAGCGGGTTACGACCTGCGGCCTTATAACTACGTAATACTATATATACTAGCTTATACTAATCCCTCTATTGCTAACTAGCCTACTGCTATATATAATACTGCTACTAAGTAAACTAATAGTGCTATTACTATAGTACCTAGTAGTAAAGTAGCCGTCCTATTAGCTATATAAGCGGCTATTATTGTTATTACTAGTACTAGTAGTATTGCTAAGTAGCCTATCGTTATTACTATTCTAATAACGCCGCCTACTATTGCTAATTGCGCTATTCTTTACGCGCTCGAAGCTTATTTAGTTCTTACTATAGAAGGTCTACCTCGGAGGGAGGTTAAGAAGGTTATAGTTTAACCGGAAGTGCTTCTTAACGTAGATTATAGCACTCGAAGCCTTAAGGGTAGTAGGTAGGTCTATATAGACGGTTAGCCTTCTAGCAAGGGCACTACTACGTACGGCACTAGCTCTTTATATACTTATAGTACTTAGCAACCCTCGTACGAAGCTAAGTAAGTAAGACTCTAGGTTCTAATATAAAGTCCGTAGTCCTTACTATCGCTATCTTCTGCTTCTTAGCAACTACAGTCTTATTTAGGTCGTCTAATTCTCGAGCTATTACTATACGCTTTGTCGAGTATAGTGTCGCTCCGCCGGTTATAGG